ACATTCATAAGCTATGGGTTATTTGTTTTAAAAAACCCACAACACAAACCAACAGCAGTTCAGGTTAGGATCTCAAAGTAATACAAAAGAAACATACTCCAGGACCTCCTGCGCACTAGAAACTCCCTTCTGATCCTTCACAGTGATGATCCTTTCTCCGCCTCTAATAATAAATGGATTATCTGAGAATGCATGAGGTTACCTGAGGAACTCCTTTATACTGCAGCTACTAACCCCAGGTGACAGCTCTGTGTGGAAATACATTACATAAACCGAAAGGGCAACTTGACTGAAGTAGTGTGCCCATTCTTAGAGAAAAATAACTGCCTTTATTTCTACAGAAGTACAATGATGGTGTGCAAAAGTAGCTTGCAGGAATAAAGACAAGTTAGGTGCTACATAGGGGGTGGCTGGTCCTTTCCTGTCCACACATTATCTTAATTTTTTGAGAATATTTCTGTCTGATATAACTGGAGGTTTGGTTTTACGTGTGAAATTCTGGACAACTAAACCTATGTGGGCAAGGAAATCCTACTAGATTTCTACAGATAGTCTGGTTTTAAATGTCACTTTTAAAGGTTTTGGTGTTGGCTTTTAAGGAGAAAGGCTGGGTTCTTTTGTTTCCTTAAGGGCTGGAGTGACACTTGTTTTATTTTACTTTATTAACAGATACTTTTACACAGTTAATGCATTAAGTAGTAGAATGATGTGATATAACTAGTTAATGTACCTACTCCTAGTCTACAGGTGATGAAAAACAGTCACTCAAATAGTATCTGGCTTCGTGCTTTAGGTTACATTAAAATCTAAATTTCGAACCCAGATTTCTCAACATGATTGTGCTCTGCATCAGCAGATTAGAATAAAGTGCCAAAAACTATTCTGTAGAAGAATGTCAACTTTTTCTTCCATTTTTGCCTTTATTTCATTAAATGGTCGATCACCCCTCTAATCTAATGTAAGAATTAGTATTCTTCCGTGTAGCCAAACAGAATTTGATCATACTATGTATAGAAAAGCCTAGGACTGAAAAATTAAGAAGAAAGAATGTACAATTTCCCAAAAAATCTTCCTAATTAACTTGAATTTCTATATTGAGAAAAGTAAATATCTGACAGCTTTTACAACCACATTAAAAGTGTAAATAAATATCAGAACAGAGTGGGTGAGTTCTGCAAGACCAGGAGACTAAAAAACAAAGTTCTAATTAAAGTGGAAAGCCAAATTAACTATCTCCAAAACATGAAGATTTTTGTTTCAAAAATCTAGTAGATGCTGAAGGGAGAATCAAATTCCCTAAAAATTTAAGAAGTTACAAGGTGTTTTATTATGATTCACATCAGAAATCAAAAGTAAACTGAAATGCCACTTGATTTTCTTTCCTTCAATGGATAAATGAAAACACAACAATTACAAAGGATTAATATAATCCTTTCTCACATTGTTCTAGAAAGTGCAGTTAATTTGGTATTGCCATTTAATTTCACAGCAGCTCAAAGACTTTGCCAGCAGAAAATGATACAACTCTGTCAAAGTCTACAGTGGTTCAACTCATGTTTTTTAGAAACACTTTTCCCACTTATTCTGTCAATTATATATGCTAAAGACCAGCTGTTTTGAATAAGCAGCTGATGTCTTTTTCAAAAGATGGCCTCATCAAAAATCCATATATAGTCATGTGAACAGTATAGTGCAAAATACTGAGTTGAAACCCAAAAACTCCTTAAAATCATCTTCAAACTGCCAAAGGCCATTGTATTCACTAGCTTCAGCCCCACGCTTGTTAAAATATGGTGAATGTGACACCAAGTAGCTGCACAACTGAAAAAAAATGGGGAGAGTGGGAAGAGGTCAAAGAAACAGCTGTGTGGCTGTTCTCACTGAGGGCTATGAAGTCAATTCAATGTCCAACCACTGCCCCATGACTTATTTGCTTCCTCTACTAAGGAAAACAAAAATGCAGCCTAAAGTTTACCAACTTTTTTCCAAATTCAGCCCAGCAGGGTTTACACAGCCTAGATATATAGTTATTCTAACATTAACTTTGTAAAAACTAACAGGATAGCTATAAAACTGAGCAGCGTGACTCACAGATGGGCTGTTAATCATGGAAATGTTGCTTAAAAAAAAAAACAAACCAACCAAACAAAAAAAACGCCACGCTCTTGGGGACATGCTAACACTTTAAAAGAAAACTGCCAAATCCATTAAATGAAAGTGTCATCCAGAATCAATCTAGGTAGGTTAGCACAATTGTGGAAATCGATTAGATTTTTTATGAGGAGTCTGAGAATTGGGAGGGGTTTTTGATCAGTTTGGCCTAAGACAAAACCTGCCAGTTCCCATCAGCATAGTCTGTAACATTAAATGGCTGGTATTTACTGCAGCAGAGATGCACTTTCTCATCCCCCTGACTAAAATGAGAGCATCCCACACTTATTTCTCTTGCTCTTCTATATACTGCCTAAAAGATCTTGTTAAAGGAGATGGGTTTTTTGGCACGTGGACTGAAGGTAATGAGTATGCAACGTAAGTCTTGTATCGTGTTGTAATGGGTTTGTGTGACGCAGGGGTATTTTTGGTGGTGGTGGTGGAGGGGCCGCAGGGGAGTCTCCTGTGAGAAGCTGCTGGAAGCTTCCCCAGCTCCAAGCCGGACCCGCCTCTGGCCCAGGCCGAGCCCATCAGCGACGGCGGTAGCGCCTCTGGGAGAACAGATTTGAGAAGGGGAACGTGCAGTCAGTAGGGGGATTGGAATGGGAGAGGAACCCCTCTGCAGATACCGAGGTCCATGAGGAAGGAAGGAGGGGCGCCTGAGGAGGTGGATGCCCCCCCGCAGCCCGTGGGGAGACGGCAGGCTGTGTCCCCCCGGCCCATGGAGGGGAGCGGGGGAGCGGAGGCCCCCCAAGATGGCCGTGACTCCATGGGAAAGCCCGCGCTGGAGCAGGCTGTGATTGAAGATCGGCCCATGGAAAGGACCCACGCCAGGGAAGTTCGTGAGGAACTGCGGCCCGCGGAAAGGACCCACGCCAGGGAAGTTTGTGAAGAGCTGCGGCCCGCGGAAAGGACCCACGCCAGGGAAGTTCGTGGAGGACTGGCTGTCTCCCACGGCGGAGCAGGGGCCGAGTGAGGAGTCCTCCTCCCCTGAGGAGGAAGGAGCGGCAGAGACCAGGTGTGGGGAGCTGACCCCAACCCCCATCCCCTGTTCCCCTGCGCCGCCGGGGGGAGGAGGGAGAGAGAACCGGGAGTGGGGTTGAGGCGGGAAGGAGGGAGGGCTGGGGGAAGGTGTTCTCAGGTTTGGTTTTGCTTCCTAATATCCTTGGTTTGTTTTGACTTGTAGTAAATTAAATTGGTTTGGTTTCTTCCCCAAGTTGCACCTGTCTTTTGTGCGCGACCATAAGAGGTGAGTGATCCTTCCCAGTCCTAATCTCAACCCACGAGCCTGCCTTTCTATTTTCTCCTCATCCCACTGTGGTGGGGGGAGTGAGCGAGTGGCTCCATGGTGCTTTGTTACCAGCTGGGCTTAAACCACAACACCTGTAAAGCATGAAACAATTGAGCTAATGCTCTTCCAGACTAATAAGTTAGTGGACACTACAGATACATTATAGCTGGCCTACAAAAGGAAAGAAAACAAATTGGTTCTGCTCACAGTCATTAATAACGAAAGCAAATGCAAAGTAAATTAAGCAGGGCATATCTTGTCAACAGGTCAAGCCTCAATGCTGTGAGGAGACAAGGGATGAGGAAAGCATGAGAGATGACAAAAGGAAGAGAAAAGCAAAGGGAGATCACAAGCTAAAGGGAGAAGAAAAGGACAGGACAGATAAATTCACCAAGAACAGAGATGTACTGAGATACAGCATAGCAGGGAGACAACTGACTGAAATCCTAGGAAGCAGTCAAAGAAAACAGAAATGGAAGGAATAAAGAGGAATTGGGAGATAGAGACAAAGTAAATAAAATGCACAGAGACACACATTGGTTTCTTACAATCATCTGTCCTAAATTATCTTCACTTTAATTAGGAAAGGAAGAAAGTCTCCAAAGTTATAAGAAATGTTATGGAACGGAGGCAAGCAAATAAACAGAAGCTCACAAACACAGCAGATGAAAGTAACACAGCCAGCTTTCATCATCACAAAGACTAGACCGGACTCTATGGTCTTTCACAGCAGTCTTCATATTGTTAAAATCCCCATTAATTTTTATTTTCGTCTTATTATCTGTTGCAGTACAAAGATACAGCTATTGTCTGCAGAACTGCAAATCTAATATTTGCTCTTTGACAGAAACATTACATACTTCCCAGAGGCCAGCCATGTGGTAGTTTTCATCATTAACATTGCACTTGTACGTGTCCTAAAAATCATGCTAACTTCCATATAAGTTGTAATAGGTTAAATAAAGGATACCACATGCATTGTAAATCTTCTCAGTTTACTTCTAAACTTCAAAACTTAACTGCTATTTACACTCCACAGTAGTTCATTAACTTTCAGAAGCTTAGAGGCCTGTAATAAACATTTAAGGTTAAAAGGCAGGCATAAAAATAATTATGATACAGTAAATCTAATGGGTTTATTGAGAAATTTATGTGGTATTACTGAGATGCTACTTCATAAGGCTACACTACAAGACTGATTTATTTAAATCCCTTTTTAAGGATCAGAAATTGTCACAGCTATTATTAACACTTGTAGCTGCATGTATGCAAATGTCTGAAAAAACTAGGCAGGATGCAGTTTAATCTCTCACCAGCATGCGTAATAGATTTTTGAATATCAGGGAGATTTTAAGTTTGGCAGCAAGACAAACTTGCTAGACATGTTTATAAACCTCCTGGCAGATCTCAATCTGCTTAGCTTCAAAAAATCCTAGCTAAAAGCATTACCATATTAATTGGCTATATGTCAAAAATGGAAAATTAAGATGTTCAAAGCACCTTGTCCTTTTAATATTTATATGAGAGAAAATAATATACAAAAATCTATAATACTCACAGTTGCCACCTGTTCTGTTACTCCTTTGTCCCACTAAGTTTTCAGATTCTTTGTATGGAAATTGAAGAGTAGTATCCAAACTTCTAAAGCCTTCTTTGAGAGAGTGGTGCTTATAGTATTCTACTAGTTCCTTTCAGAAAGGAAAAACACTATGTCATTGGAAATTGAAATCACATCCTTTTCAACATTCTGGTGTACAGTCAGTGACCATTTTATCATACAAGTAACCTTAATTTATAATACAACATGTATTATAAACAGTACATGTTTATTTTTAAAACATCAAGTATCCTAAATACTGACTGCCACTTAACTGGATTTTCTTGGGGTTATTCTAAGTAAAACCTCATTGTCAGAGTCAACACTTACTGCTCCTTTGAGCCAGGCTGAGCATGTATTTACTTTTCTGAAGTCAGGCAGAAGGCAAGGTCAGCTGCCTGTTAAGTATATAATGGTAACTTTCTTTGTTTTCTCAAATTTCTTTTGCAATGATAAGTGATGTTTATCCACAAATGCATTTGTAAGTACACATCCAAAATAAAGCATAAGGCTTGCATGTAAGCATATAAGTCAACAGCAACTTAATGAGCAGATACACAGACATGGTAAAACTTTCAAGGCTCTGCCATTGGAGGGGGGGGGGGGGGGGGGGGGGTGTTGGTTGGAGGGTTTTTTCATATAATGCACACTGGCTGAAAAATCCAGCATTTCACATTCTCCTTGGGCCCAATCCAAAAATTTGTCTCTGTGTGTGTATATGTGTGCATATATATATAAACATACATATGCACACACAGAGACACACACAGACAAATTTTATATGTATGCACAAATTTTATATATATGCACACACACACATATATATGAAAATATAAAAAAATGGCTCAAATAGTTTATTCAAGGAGATAAGTTACTTTAGCTTCTATTCTAAAGAAGGCAACTCCCATCAAAATACTAACAGCTCATGTTATTCCTTCGCAATCTTCAACCCCTGCCATTGTCTCTTACATTTGAATTAGCCCTAATAGTGTCAGTATCACACAGTTTGTACACAGAGACTAGAATAAGATTAAAAGTGACCAGACAATTCAAGGCAAACATATTTCATTTGATTAATGATACTTCAACTGTGGGATTTCACTCTTCAGAAATGCAAGCACAAAACAATGTATTTACTGTAAACCCTTCATTCCTACCAGTAACTCAGTCACTCCATTCTACTTACTTACATTTAGATTTCCAAAATCAAAGTTGACCAAGCCAAGCTTAGGTCAAAATAAGGAAATAGTACTGTGTTCAATCATTTCCTTCTAGTTAAAAAAAAAAAAAAAAAAAAAAATTACTAGCTTACAGCAGCCTACATCAGCCAAACAAAATGACTCTCGAATTATTTAGTCCAAGATCTGGTGCATAAACCTTAAGTTCTTGACAACAGTCTGAAGATTATCTTCTGAACTCTGGAACACTTTACTACCCCATGCTGCGAGCTGTTGCAAGTCTCTGAAACTGCTTCTAAGGCAGAGTCCAAAGCTAAGTAAAATCTACACCTGCTTTTAACAGTCCATAATGACAGATCTGCCAGACACTCCAAGCAAGCATAAAGCCCCGGACACTAAGAACTGTTTGGGCTTTGTTGTCCGATATCAGCACAGCACGCAAGCTACAATGTCAGCAACCAAATTTTCTGTCACATATCATCACTGAGTACCCAGACATTCAAATTACCAAGGCAACAGAGAGGGTGATTTGTAAGTAAGCAGCATTCAAAGTAGGATATCTGGATAAATGGAAAAATAATTAGTATGAAACTTTTGTTAGCGTTTTGCACCACATAAGTCTGTAAGAATTATGCTGTTTGGTAAAGATATTAAGAATTTCAACTGGACATACTTTATCTGTTGGAAAAATGAGTAAAACAGTTCGAAACCGAGGAAAAATTTACTTTGGGTCACAAAAATTCAGTTGCTTTTAAAAGTTTAGTTTTTTATACCATTCTTCCACGAAAACAGTCAACAACCAACCAGCCTCTAAAACATTCATTGCAAAAATCACAGTAGCAAGCTTACAAACAGGTAAGTAAAGGTAAGTAGCCCCTGCCAGCGTGGATGGGCCTCCCCAGGAGTCTGTCACATTACCATGATCCGCATCGGCACCAGAGCTGACCTTTCACTGCACCTTGGCCTGCTTTACACACTCAGCACATTTTAATTACTCTTATGAAAGTTTTTCAAATGTACTGTGAGAACTATGTACAAGCTGTTCTACTTTTGTTACCTCCAAAGTAGTACAGAACACTGCGTCACTGCAGATCACTACTTTAGGTTTCCATGGCTGCTGGCTTTGTCTCTCTTCTGCTCCCAGTTCTACTCAGACTATTTTTGTTCCTCTCTTCTTCCAGACACTGTTACTTTTTCTCTTGGATCTACCCAGAACAAAGCAGTTGTTCCACAGCATATGCAAACAGTACTAACACTACTACCAGTTGTCTATTTAACTCTCAAGGGCAGAATTCATAATACCCTAAAACTGAGTTATGAAATGACTTTTTCCTAATTGAATGTTAACAAGGCTAAATTGGTAGCAATGAGGCCTTTACACTAGAAATTTCTTTTGTCCTCTCAATTCTTTGACGCAACGCATATTCTTTTTGTTTCTATTTTATCGAAGTTTGTGTCCTGTACTATCTCTGATCATTCAGCTGTATTTTAAAACCTGCATCAGTGCATTAAACTGCATCATTGTCATAAGAAGATATCTGGCAGCATGTGACTCCAGCTCAGATGCTTTGTCAAGATCCTGAGAGGGCTCATATGTTCTCATTAGTTTCTAGTGAATCATTTGTAGTGTTTGCAGACTAAGTAGCTGTCTCCTTCATGCATTTGAGGAATGCCACAATTTCTGTTGCTACCAACGATAAGAACTCAGGGTTCCCAGCCCTAACACTAAACACTTCACTGGTTTTTAAGTGTCAAATGAAGACATTAGAGTGTGGAAACAGCTTGATGCATTCTTCATCAGGAAATTTATGTTCTTCCCATTCTAATGAGCACTTATTTCAAACAGGGTCAGGCAAAGCATAGATTTCTGCTTGATTTTTTACCACTTGTAGAATGCTCTTGCACAGAGTATCAGTGGTTAGATTAAAATCATTTCTAAGGCTTCCTGGTTTTAAAGCTTCTCTCCCTACTCTTGTTTTGCATTGTCCTTCATTTTTATTTATCGTTTTAGAGTATTTGGACATGCATGCAGGAAGGCTGCAGCGTAAGTTTTAATCCAATTGATAGCACTAAATATATTGAATGAGCTTCCTTTAACAATGCTTCAGGAAATGCTTAAGCAGTAAAATTTTACAAATGCACTAATGTAATTTATTCAGACACCTTGTATTTATGAGTCTTGTCTGAGCAAAAATGAGCTAAGAAATTCTTTAAAATGAAAGTTCAAAAAAAGGAATTTCTTCCCCATACAAGATGACTCTGACATAACATTGAAAACTCACTGATCTGGGCAGTTATAACACCAAACTCTGTTTTCTGGGAATGAACTATGCCTATAGTTGAAGTGAAAGTCAGTGAGAGAGCTTATGTTTTGTGTCTTACTACCATAGTTTGCTAGTGAGTGGTTTGCTGCCACAGAGTGTAAGTTCGAAGTAGTCACACAGTTGCTTTAGTTTAGACTAGTCGATATTGACTGCAGATTACTATTATTCCAACAAGGATTTCTGAGCTATTAGCAGTCAGACAGCCCCATTCTCTAGCTGCACTTCTTTGCCTGGTGCACCAAGAGCAGGAAGACCAGCCTCTCCTGAGTTTTTCTGGGCTCTCTGACACAGCTGCACCTTATATCCTTCTCCCTCTGAACTTACACATCAATAGGTATCATTAAGTTCAGCAATACACATGTACATGTGCTGGGCTGGGAAGGAACCTTCACCTAGCTACTTTTAGCAATCATTACTATATAGAGAAAAATTTCCAAAGACATCAAATTGTCCTTTCAAGATTCAGCCTAACTGCATAGTGGGCTGATGCATGGGATTCAAATTCCTCCTTTCTTCCACATCACTGCAAGGGACACAGTCCAGTCCTAAATATAAATGTGTAGTTTTAAGCACATACTACCATCATTTAGAACATAAATCATAAATATAAAGAATTATCCTATTAGCAGGTATAGACACAATTCAAATTTCTCACTCTCACAGCCTTCTGTAAATTCACAAACTGAAGTAGCTCTCACTAACAGCAACAGCTACACAGAAGATTATGCTTTGTTAAAAACCTAATCAATGCTTACCATTAAATTTTTAAATTTTCTGTTTTCTGCAATGTGGAAAAAGCCATCTCTTGTTAAAATCTTGATGTGTTTCACTTCGTTATTGTACCTGTGGGCAATGAATAACTTATGAATATAAATGTGTTTTTAATCAGACACAATCAATAATTACCTGAGGGCATGCCCCAATAACACCACATGAATAAATTCTTAAGACGAAATGTATATCTGTGCCAAAAGAAGGCTGACATCTAATTAACCAAATATATTTATTAAAGTACAGCTGAAGAGGTAATCTGTATTCAGAAAAAAAGTCACAACTAACTGCTCATTCTAACTGGGAATTCCCATATATTTCTTACTTTCATATTCATGTTGATGAACAACATGAAAGTAAACAAGACCCTCACAATAATTTGCATCCACAGAATTTATGAACCCACATTTTACCGAAATGTCTGAGATGCAAAGGGCTTCAACAAGTTCTCACTGAAGTCAATGAAACACTCTTACTCACTTCAGAGAAGCAGATCACATTACACTCCAAACACTTGCTTACTCTTACCCAATATACTAGACCATAATTTTTGTAGACCTGTTTGCTACATCAGCACTATAAAACCATTGCTACTTTTGTACTATAAATCCTGGGTATTTTTGTCAGCAACTTCAGTTTTCCTATATCAACTCTCTTAAAGATTGCATATGATTATATAAATTGGAAGGGGGGGGGGGGTGTCCTTATTTATTTCAAATATCATCTAGACTCAAATGCAAACAGGAAAACTTTCTGTAGGACATCTTATTACACTTACTTAATACTAATTGCATATTCTCCTGACTCTTTGGTCCTGTGCCGCACCAGGTAAGTGCTATTTACTCTGTTAATAAGTTCACTCTCTGCTTGCAATCTTTCCATTGCTCCTGCAAACCTGGAACAGAGAACAATAAAAACTGCCTATGATTTTTTTCAAAACTCCAAAGAAAGGTCTATCAGATATGCAGTGCAGAGTCCCAGTATTCTGCATATGACGGGGACCTAAAAATACATCAGTTGCAACTGAATGCCACTTCCAGATCTCTGAATGAAGAATAAAGCGTGAAAAAATTCCGCACTGGGGCAGGAAGAATTCTTAATTAGAACAGTACTTGTGCACGTGTTGAACACAATGTCTGTTAAGGAAAGTACTCAAGCCTGAGCATTAGCTTAATGACTACTGGCTTGAACAGCTCATAAACCCAAATGTTTTTCTGAATCATGTGTTACAAGTGAAACAATAAAACAGTGGTCCAGAACCTTTGAACCTTCCTGAGTTCTAGTGGGATGTATCTTAACAGAGTAGAGAATCAGCCAGTAGTAGTATATTAGGTCAAAAAAAGACCTATACAGAAATTTGGTATTTCTACAAATGCACTATTTTATTTGCTTTCACAATTATTCATAACCTCTAAAGGCTAAAATGTAATGGGTAGACTAAACATCCACAACTAAAAAAAAAATTTCAGCCTAATATGTCCAAATTTGAAAGAGCTGATGCTAAGAGTTGAAAGCTAAAACAAATAAGTCACCAATTCTGCAGCCTGACTGCATAAGCAGATCTGAGCCCTTGATCTGCCTTGCTGGTTTGGGTGGGACTTCATGAGAGACTGTCAGCAGACATTTATTTGCAAAACTAGAGGTTAAACTGTTAATTGAGGAAAGTGACCTAGCTTACAGGGAAATGATGCTTATTTTACCATTTTACAAAGTAGTCTAAAGACAGTCAACATCACAGAACACTACTATGTAAAATGTCATACTAATACATCACTACCAATTAGAAGAGAGCTGTAAATAAAAAATAGTTATTTTATGAATCACACCAGGGAACAAGCATTTTGAAGTTTATCACAAAATACATGACTTTTTACAGCAAGTTGCAGCCTAAAGTAATTTTTCAGTTAAGTATTACAAATCCTTAAAAGACAAACTGATGCCAATGATATGCTTTCTTCTAACAAATTATAAATAGAGCAAACGCTAGAATTTAATTTAAAATACCAATTTTAAATATTAAACATTCTATTTGGCTTGTTATGAAAAATTAGTATTTGTTTCAATCTGATTCTGATTTCACTTTTGGCAAACTAGAGGAAATCAGAACTTGCATATAAATGACAAAGCATAAAACCAGTGAAAGAACACAAGTGACACTCATTCTGTTCTCTCGAAATCACCATGACTTTTTGAGAAGTGAGGTGAATTCCCATAAAGAGTTCACACACTACGTAAGGCCCAGACCAGCAGTGGTTGTAGTTTCGATCCACTGTCCTTTTATATCTCTACAGTCTTCTTTTTTTTTTTTAAAGGAAATGCAGAATTATTCATGAGACAAGATGTACTTAACATTATTCCCCCTCTTTATTCACTTAACATGTCAGATCTACTTGCATGCTTCATATTATGTTCATTTCTTACTATTCTATTTCAGACCTCTGGGACTAAGCCTGCACAGCTACAGACTTGTAAACAAAATGTCAAAATCATTAAGCACTTTATTACATCAGAAATACTTTTAGGCAATGCATGGTGTTGCTTTCCCAAACCATTACACAATGCCTTCTTCAGAAGCCTAGGAAGGTTAAACCAATATAAATTAAATTGTAATAAACACAGTTGTCCTTCTATGACTGCTTCTTTCAGAGAGATTCTTGTAAGACTAGACAGGGACTCACCACAGTTGTGAAGAGTAATCTACTGGTTTAGGAACCTAGGACATGAAAAGATACAAGAGAATGAGGATCAAGATTTTTTTTCTAATCAACACAAATCAGACAGCATTGATCTAATTGTCAATATCCAGATGAAACAAGTTAAAAGAAACAGATGATCTAATTCGTCTGCAAGTAGTATTTTCTTTTGAAGAAAGTTATAATAAAGGACAAATATTCCATACCATTCTGAAAGTAGTACAGAATATTTTAACTCTTTGCTGCTGTGACAGATATTTTTTTACTTAATAGAACTGTTAGAAGTTTTTCTGACAGTGCCTACATTCAAACTTCATACATAAAATAGCCCAGTGCTACATATTGTTGAAAAGTATCATTAAAATATGCAAAAAATTTACTGTAACATGACAAAATTCACTTCATATTTTCAGGATTGTATGGCCTTAAAAATACTGTCTACTAGGAAATACAGTATATAACCTTCAGAGATGGATCCATAGATTGTATTGTATGACATCATTCATACCTTTCTATTTGACTTGGTTAACTCTTGTACTGGATTTTAATAAGCATGGAATTTGTTTCTTAAATTCAATTTAAAAATTAAGCAAACTACAAACAGTTTGCAAAACTGATGTTATATGTATACATAAACATATGCATAGATAATGTTTATACATGCACAAGATGCACAGTATAGCAATTCCCATGAAAATCAGCATTTCATCTTTACCATCTCCCACTGGTGTATGATACTTTGGTATTATCCCACTCTTCTAAAACAACATGTGAAACTTGCAAAGTAAGTATTGAAAAATTGATTTTGATGGAAGCTTAGCATACATCTTGCAGACTTATAACCTAATGTCATATATTCTTAGATAAGCAAATTATTTCTTTTTTTTCTTCCAGTAAAACCAAAGAATGTTTTATTATTTTCTAGAATCTAATAGGGGAAAAAGATTACAGTAACATTCTTCTCACATTTTTTTATTTACAATATATGGAATGTCTTCAACAGAGACTTCCAAACACAGATGAACTCAGGAAGATATTATTATACAAGCTTACAAACTTAAATTAATTGAAATTAATTACAACTCCCACTAACTTGACCTAAGGTATCAACAAAGATCTCTATCAAGTATCTAGACCTGACCTTGAAATAAACTTCAGCGATGGGACAAAACCCCACCCCACCCCCCAAAAAAATCCCAGAACCAAAAACCAAAACCAAGCCAAACCAACCAACCAAACAATTTAAAAAAAAACAACACCACAAAACAAACAAACAAACAAAAAACACCTCCTTGCATATTTAATCACAGTATTCTGCAGTTAAAGTTGCAAGAGTCAAGAAATGCAAAATTTTTTTGTTAACCTGTCCAAAATGCTATGGTATATTCTAGCAGTATTGCTGAGGTTGTAGTAGGCAGCTTTTGAATGGAAAAAAAAGCAGAATAGGAAGCTATGAAGCAATTATTGAACCAGGATATTGTAAACTAGATGACAGCAGGTGGTCCAAATTGAGGGAATGTACAGAGGAATATGATATTTACAACCACTTGTGTTGATAACATATTATCTTACAACCTCCTCAAAAAAAGCTCAGTTACTGGAACGCAAGATTAGTAAATTATTGAAACAAGTAAGAATTATTACAATTTCACCATTTTAAGGCTCTCATCTTCATGCTAAGAAGCATCAACACCAGAATTATATAATGCGCTTACTCCAAATGCTTCACCTAAAACCCTGGCTAAGTATATTCTTAGTTAACTTCAGAATATTTTTTTATTGAGAAAGTTTTAAAAAAAACTTAGATTAGGAATTAGTATCTCTCCTAACTTCTCTTCTCCACAGAAGTAAACAAAACTGCTCAGGTTTTTGTGATAGGATAGGGTTTTGGCTAACTTCAAATTTACTTAAGATTTAACTTCCATCCCTGCACTGTTAAGATTCATTTCCATGAACCGAAATTTGCAGAGTTCACAAAGCTCTGCTTACTGCCTTTGACATAATGGTCATTCACACTAAATACATGACCACTTAACTCAAATGCTTCTCAACCCAAGATTTTTATGATAAAATTTCTGAATTTTACAGGACAGCCCAAAACTCACATTTTTTTTAAACAGCAAAGCAGACACTAGTGTGAAACACATTAAAGTTCTCTGTGATAAAACCAGGGTCACATCTTCAGCTTGCACAACAGTAAATCTATCCAGGTGTTAAAACAGTCATTAAGTTAGTCTAGTTCAAGACAGAAAAAGGAAATGTGCATTATTCCCAAATAGTGTAGACAAAGGGCTCTCAAACGGTAGCATTTGTAGTGCTGGTGGTATGCAAACCCCTTTGAAGTTTAGGGGTCCTAACACAGCCAGGTACTACCACTGGCAGCAGCAGTGGCTCTTCATATCCCTACAACTACTGATGGTGTTACTTGGGCACCTCTGCTTCCAATGGTGAGACTTGGAAAAAAGTTAAGATTATGAAAATGCTGACAAAGAATTCCTATGAAAAATGTTTTAGCAAAGCAACCAAATGAGACATTTCAAGGCCAACTAGGCACTTACATTGTCTTCACATGCTGTGAGATATTTCAACAATATATTTCATCTACAGAAGAATTGCACCTTTAATGATTTGTACTACCCCCATAGGGCTAATTAAATAACATGCATTCTATCAGCAGCAGGAGAAGAAAGAATAGCTTAAAAAAAAAAATATCTGTAATTTGTCAAGTAGTCCTACAATGTTGGAAAGAATATAAAAATTCAAAGATGGTTTAAGTCCATCCCCCAGAGAAGTTAAACAATACATGAGTAATCCTTTTCATTAATTTTGAATGCATAGGTATATATAGAAAAAGTGTTGTTCATTGTCATGAAACGGAGTAAAATCAAATGTTATTCCAGAAGCTCTTGGCTCACACTGTGCTATGTATCCAATGCCTCTATAGGAATGAGAAAACTGGAGGAAAGCTAGGAAGAACCAGATATTACTCATATGTTGCAGAAAATGTCTGCTGACATACACTACTTATTGCAAAGAGGGAAAAATTGTTTATAGGTACATCTGTGAAAAGTCTGGAATATAGATATTCTGGAGGTCAGCAGTTTTTCATTCAATATTCATTCCTAAAGTCTTTTGATGTATGTATTTTATGCTGTTTCTGGGCATTTTTATATCAGCTGGCTGTAAAGACTGTTAGGCTTCATAATAACATTAAAAGTTATGGCATGTTTAAAACCTGACTGATGTTTCAGTATCTTTAACTGCATCACTTATCATAATAAGATGTTTATATTTCATCCTTCCAAGTTAACAGTGGTGAAGCATCAATTTATCTTTTTGTTCTGATCATGACACCAGTTGGTGACATTTCATGAATAATATTTATTCATTCTGTAAAACTGTATTATTTTCAATACTCCTCTAAATAGTATATTTTAAATTTAGCAGAAACCTTTATCACTAGAAAGCAATCTTCACAACACCCGAGCAACGTTTTTCCTAACTTTGGATATCCGACTTCCTCTGCTTTAAAGTATAGTGGTGGGTCCTAAAATATTGCTACAGTTGCTGTTCAAAGATACTATACAATGACTGACTAGGTGGCTCCAACCAAGAACCTAATGCCAATACATGGCAGGTACTGCCTGCGTTCAGGACAGTGACACCATGGCACGGGAAATCCACAACTTCTACAATAACCAAGGGGTCGAGGGAATCATAGAATCATTTAGGTTGGAAAAGACCTTCAAGATCATTGAGTCCAACCATCATCCATGCCCACTAAACCATGTTATAGAGTACCCCATCTACTCGCTTTTTGAATACTTCCAGGGATGGTGACTCCACCACTTCCCTGGGCAGCCTATTCCAATGTCTGACAACCCTCTCAGTAAAGAAATTCTTCCTAATATCTAACCTAAATCTCCCTTGCCGCAACTTGAGGCCATTTCCTCTCGTCCTATCTCCAGCCACCTGACAGAAGACACCAGCACCCACCTCACTACAACCCCCCTTCAGGTAGTTGTAGAGAGCTGTAAGGTCTTCCCTCAGCCTCCTCTTCTCTAGACTAAACAGCCCCAGCTCCCTCAGCTGCTCCTCATAAGACTTGTGCTCCAGGCCCTCACCAACTTGGTTGCCCTTCTCTGGACATGCTCCAGCACCTCAATGTCTTTCCTGTAATGAGGGGCCCAAAACTGAACACAGTACTCGAGGTGCGGCCTCACCAGTGCCGAGTACAGGGGAACAATCACCTCCCTGCTCCTGCTGGCCACACTATTTCTGATACAGGCCAGGATGCCATTGGCCTTCTTGGCCACAC